CCCCAAAACCCCAAAACCCCAAAACCCCAAAACCCCAAAACCCCTTTCAAATATAATAATATTGAATTTTCCAAATGCCAGTGAAATGGAGAGGAGTAATTAGAGAGAGGACGGACAAATTCCGAAGTCTCAAGTTCGGGAAAGCTACTAGCAACTCCTCGAAAGACTCATTCGAAAATAACAGAGAACTCAGATTTAAAAGACTTGGTGATGATAAGATCCTCAATCTCGCAGACAGCGACACCACTGATTTAGAACAACAGTTTTCTTCGAAGCATCCTAACGAGAGGGAGGTCTCTATGAGCTCTGGAGAGCACACTCTTGGAGAAGACGAAATAGGTATTGATGTCAGAGGAAGAGAAATGGTAGACGAGCTTGATATCTCCAAAAATCAGCCACCATTATGGGTTTCACGTAAAGATGAAATTGACGACGATTTGAAGAAAATAGAAGTTAAATTTGAAAAACTCAAAATTCTAGAGCGTAAAAGAGTCACAGAGATCTTCAAAACCAGTGAAGTTGACGACGTCCAAGCTCTTGTAATGGATATCACCCATAATATCAAAGAAAATGAAGAAAAACTCAAAGAGATACGGAATTATAAATCAAGATCTGTTGCTGACGAAAAGATCAAAGCTAATGTTGAATATGTTGTTGCCAAGAAGTTGCAGGAATTGGCTAACTCCCTCAAACAAAGACAGAGGAATTATGTCAGTAAGTCTAATAGCTGCTAACCTCCTATAGCCAAACTTCAGGAACTCAACGGTGGTGAAGACTCAAAGATCAACCTGTCTGATGAATACAATGAAGATGAGCTAGAACTTGATGAAATAGAATCTTATAGAGCCAAACATAAGGATAAAGAAATCCAAGAACTAACAGATTCAGTTAGAGATCTTGCTGTCTTATTCAAGGAGCTGTCTACCTTAGTCATAGAGCAGGGGACTATTATTGATCGGATTGATTACAACGTTGAAACCGCACTGATTAATACACAGAAAGGTAAAAAGTATCTGAAGAAAGCAAGAGAGCATCAAAAGAATAATAGAGCAAGGAAGATTTTGATCTGACTCACTCTTTTGATCATTATCTTCGTTATTCTATTGATAATTAAAAAGGCATAAGTTAGAATTTACCCAGTGTCATCGAGAATCTAAATAAACTTAAATTTTCTCACACTAGTGCAAGCTTAAGCATTGTTAGTATCACTATAAAAAGTATCAGATCGATAAATGGAATCTTCAGAAATCAGAAAATAGGGCTAGAAATTTCTCTATCTTCTCATTAGCCACTGTATTTCTGGCATTAAGATAACTCTCTAGTTTCTCTTGTCTGTAAGTAGGTATATTAGTGCTATGCAGATTACTATTATACTTTCTCGCAAGCATCTTAGTCACCATAATACTTTTGCACTACTGTGCATCTAGCAATATTTTATTAATTTAACTCCATTTAGATAAACCTGAAGGAAAAGCACAAATCAATCTTGTGGAAATATAAAGGGGTTTTGGGGTTTTGGGGTTTTGGGGTTTTGGGG